TTCTGCGTCCAGGTCTGGAGGCTGGTGAGGGAACCCGTCTCCTCCCTCTTTCCCGACCGCTCCTGCCTGATGTTCTCGCCTCCCCCTCCTCCTCTGCCTGGAGTTCTCGCCTCCTCCTCCTCCTCTCCCTCCTCCTCCTCCTCCTCCTCCTCCTCCTCCTCCTCCTCCTCCTCCTCTTTCTCCACCGTACCCGCCCCCAGACTTGGGGTTGGGGAGCCACTCGGCTGCCCTGCTGCTGAGGGGTGTGGGTTTATGGGGGGGAGGAGGCAGGCGGTGGAGGGAGAGCAGGGGGTAGGGGGGGAGTGAGGAGGGAGAGGCGAGGCACGTTCGAGAGCTCCAGGTGCCTGCGACTCGAACAAGTCAGGCCCTCGGAGATCTGGATTCTGCTCGGTGTTGTAAACACTCTGTGTGTCTCCCCTCCCAACGTCAGTCGCGTTGCCACCGGAAATGATCCCATTTGCTCTGGGAGCATTGACCACGCCCCAGCATGCCCAGTTCCATGTTCACCTGTGGCGGAAGGCACGAACGGCCAACTCCAGGGTGCTCCAGGGATCTTCTTGCCCGGGGTCCTGCGGGTGGGCAGCTCTCTCTCTCTCTCTCTCTCGCTCTCTCTCTCTCTCTCTCTCTCTTCCCGATGGCCCAGTCGGTGGGACTGCCCAGTCGGCGGGCTGCTCAGAGGTGTCCCCCGCCAGCCCCCCCTCCCCCCGCCGGACTGGCCGGACGACGGGGCGAGGGGAGGATGCGGAGCGCGCCGCCCGAGCATCAGAGGGCGTCGGGCCGCGCCGCGGCGGCTAGGATCCCATCACGCTCTTCAGGGACCTGAAGCGGCATTATCCCCGCGCGGAGGTCGAGGAACGATCGCCTGGCAGTGCTCGGGGTGGGGCAGAGGCGGGAGCAGGTAACGAGAGACGACGAGACATAGAGGCACGTCGCTGGCGGGGGTGCGGCGGGGTCGCGCTTCGCGCGATCTTGGCGGGAGTTGCCCGTTTTCCACGGCGGCCGCGCGGGGGCAAGATTATGGTCGTGCCTCGCCTCGCGCTTTCGTGCAGCGCGCAGCGCGAGGTTGGATAACCTGCGGCGCACAGACGCGCACATACTCATCGTGTACATAAAAAGCAGATACAGGCAGAGGTGGAGACAGCAGATAGCTGCAGGGACTCACACGGGGTTGAAGTGATACAGGAAGAGATTCCGCTGTAGACAGATATAGACGCAGGCGCGATTCGGGACCGCGAAGCCTCCGCGACGCCCTTCAGCCAGGAGGTCGAGCTCCAGCCTCGTGCTGCTGCTCTGCGCTGGCGTGTGCCGCGCGCGTGATGCTCGGATGTCACGGGGTGGGGTCGCCCTGCTCGTGTGCTGGCCGGCGCTGTCCGCTTCCCGGGCTCCCCCGTACGCAGTTCGCTTCGCCGTGGCCCAGCGCTTGCGACGACCGGCTCACGCGTCCGCCGAGCCCGCGGCTCAAAGAAAGTGCCAGCGGGCGCTCGCGTGGGGTGTCTGGGAGGCGGCGGCGGCGGGTCGCGGGAGTATGCCGATGCCCTGGTGGCTTGGCTGGCGTCTCGGTAGCACAGTGATGTCCCCATGGTTTGTGCACCGTGTCCCGCGTGTGTCCCGGCGGTGCTCCGAGGTCTTTCTGATGGTGTCGCTTTGGTCCCTTGCCGATTCCCAATGACTTGTTGCTGATGTTTCCAGTGTGCCGAGGATTTTTTGATTTCCCTATGGTGTTCCATGGGTTTGTTCGTATGTTCCGATGTTGTGCCTTGCTGGTGTCCTGGTGCCGTCCCTACGGTTTGGTGATATCCCAATTGTTTAATTGATGGTGTTAAGATCGTACCCCGACCCCGATTGTGTGTTGATGGTGTCCCGATCCAGTGATAACCCGGCAATTACTTGATGGCGTCCCCACGATATGCTCATGATGTTCCGATTGTGTCAGACTGATTTCGTGATGGTCTTTATCCACTGTGGCCTGAGAGTGCCCCCATGGCGTCTCGATAACGTGTATCTGATGTCAGGATGGTGACTGATGATCGTTTCCAAGTACACATGTGAGCCAATTATGTGTCGAATCTATTGGACTTGCAAGCTACGTGTAGCTGTAATGTGAATCAGGTTACAACGCAGTTTGTGCAGACAGTGTATCGATTGCGAACCACATGGAAATTCAACTGCAATCAGACGACATGCAAGTGCTCGTCGAAGGCTAACCCTAGGAGAACTATGAGTCGTACGCTGATCAGCTGCGAATCAGAGGCGATGCATAGATGGCGCAAACACAGATCAACAGTGAGACAATCGCGACTTATCAACTAAACAAGATCGCTTGACTGCGAGGCGTGCTGAAGGGAAGCGATCCAAATGCGGATCGGATGCAAGTCTTCTGCACATCAAACGTGAATGAAATGGCGGTGACCGCTTTACATGCGATCGAAATTATAACCATGTTGGGACCTTTCGGGTTTAGCTGAATTGATTTTTCACTAAACGCGTATCGGAAGCGGCACACATGACATTCAAACCCATCTCCCATTTTTTAAAGCTCAGACACTTTCTTACCAAATGAGATCACATGTGCAGCGCCCCAGGGGCAACCACCTCAACGGCCAGTTTCAGGCCGCTCGAGTAAGCTTGGGGGAGACATGGGATCTATAACTGTGTGTATTTATACAGATATCCAGCTGCCTGCGGCAAGTTCCGCCACCCTTCTACCTTGGCACTCTGGGTGGCGATTGTGGGAGGAGCGCGCAGGAACGAGTAATTTTCATGTGCCACCTCTTGCCCCGAGTCGTGAGAGAGCCGTAGACTGTGACATTGTCTTCCGTGTCGTATCGGGGTGTCTCTCATCGCGTTCGGCGTCGTCTTTCTTTTGTCCTTTTCCTCACTCCTTCCTTGGAGCCTCTTATGGGCCTCTTGGGGGCCCATTGGGGGCGTCTTGGGGGCTCCTTGGGCCTCCTCAGGGCGCTCTTAGACAGTCCGGGGCCTTCGGAATTCGTCTTGGTGCCCTCGTGGGGCCTGGGAAGGGTGCATTCTCTAGCGTTTCTTAGGCTGGCTTCGTGTGTCCTTGATCCATCTTGTGGCCGTCTTGGAGGTCTCTACAGTTAGCCCGTATCATACGGATCCGCGGTGATGATTCAGGGGCCTTGGAGGTCCATGTGAACGTTTTTCGAACGAGGTTGGCCAGCGAAAGTCGCTAAGGATGGGCCGAGAAGGCAGGGTGCACGGCTACCCTGGGGAAAGCTGCGCATCCTTACTATGCAGGTTGACTGTAGGGTCATATTCACAGTCTCTTGGGCCTACTTGGGCCCTGACGGGGCCCTCTTGTGGGCATCTTCGGCGTCTTGGGGCCCTCTGGGAGGCCTCGTGGACTGGCTTGGGCTGACGGGTGCCCGAAGCGGTGAGGACTCGAACAATGTTTCAAACACCATGGGACAAACAAGAATCTTGATTTATTCACTGGGGGTGTTCTTGGAGCTCTCTTGGGCCATCTTGGGGGCCACTTAGGCCGTTTTTGGGCCAGCTTGGGCCGTCTTGGTGTGATCTCGAGCTGCTGTCTTGGAGGCACGTTAGGCCGTCTTGGCGGCCTTGGTGGCCCGCGTCGGCTGTCAGGGCAGCCACCTTGGGCATCGCGAGCGCCTTGGAGAGCGCCTCGGAGAGCGCCAGGGAAGCGTCCGGCCGTCCAGCGAACCTTGGGACAGGGGAGGGGCGGCACAGGCAGCGCTCCGTGACTGGGAGGGGGGGCGTCCCTGCCATACCGGACAGCACGCGGCATTCTCCACCACACCTCGACGTGCCAGGGGGCACGGCAGCGGGCAAGTGCACATGGTCGCTGTGCAGGGAGGCAGAGGAGGCAGCAGAGGCCTGGGGCCAGGAGCGAGATCTGGGCGAGGCCAGACTCAGGGCCTCGCTCCGCCGAGAGGGGGTTAGCTCCCGCCCCCGTTGCCTGCGGCGCGGCCTTCGGCGGGGGCCCAGGCAAGGGGCTCAGGCCTTCCCGAACCGGCTGCCCTCCCCCCTCCCCCCTCCCTGGTTTTAGGTCGGGCGTGTCCCCCTACAGGGGGATTTTGGACGAAGAAAAAATGAACATAATCAAAACATGCGCAAAAAATACCCCAAAGTAGTAAAACAATCGTCCCACAATCATTTTGTTGTGATTACTTTTTAGTATTCCTTCTGTAGAATGACAGGCCCGACTTGACCCTGGTTGCGCGCCGCTGGCGCTCTCCCCCCCGCCGGCCGGAGCGCCGCGAGGACTACTTCAAGGACGGCAGGCGCCGCGCGCCCCGCCCAGAGACGGCCGAGCGCGCCAGGGTCGGGCGTGGCGTGCCGTCAGCCCGCACAGTGAGGAGGAGGCATTTTCCGAGGTGGCCCTTGCCTCCTTCCCCTTCGGCCCGCCGTTGGCCGCTCTCGCTTCGTGCGCGCGCCCCGCTCGCAGAGCGTCGACGTGGCCCTCCCCAAGGCCTTTGGGATCCTCATCTCGCGTCCTTGTCGCACGGGTTGACTGCAGGGGGGGGCGACGATCAAACGGGTTGTGAAGAAGGGTGCGCTCTTTGTGCCCCGAAGGGGCCCCCTGGGGGCCCAAGAGGAACGTGAGAGGTGCCCCCCTGGGGGCCCCGAAGGGGCCCTCTTGGGCCCCCGGGGGGGTATGAGAGGCCCCCTGTGCCCCGAAGGGGCCCGCTGGGGGCGCCCCCACTAGGTGGCGCCCGACGGGGCACGGAGCGCGGGCGGGCGCCGTGGCTCTGGGAGACGGCGACGGTTGGAGGTGGGAGACGGCGATGGCCGTAAGACGACGGCGACGACAACGGGGAGCGGAGCAGTGATGGGGGACAACAGCCATGGCGAACAGCCCATTCCACACGCCGACAGGGTCGGCAGATTCACTGTGTGGAGTGCATCTATTAGCATGGACCTGTCCGCCGTGAGTGTCTAGGCGCAACAGGTTTCCAATGTAAACGGGCTCGAATCTTAACAGTCTGGGAGTGAATCTACACGTAAATGAGTTGGAGTGTGAATGGGTCTCAAGAGTATTAGTGCGTCTCTGCGCATGAGACTGGGGCCTTCTGGGGCCTCTTGATTCCTCCTGGGTCTTCCTGTGGCCTCCTGGAGCCTCTTGGGACCTCCTGGGGCCTCTTGGGGCTTCCTGTGGCTTCCTGAGGCCTCCTGGGCCCTCGTGTGGCTTCTCGGGCCTCCAGGAGCCTCCTGGAGCCTCCTGGGGCCTCCTGGGGAGGACTCGTGCAACAGGAGACGCCCAATCTATAGGGACTGACGTAACACATTTCGGATTGGAGCCACAGGAGAGGGGCAATCGATAGGAACACGCGTAAAACACCTAGGACTCGTGCCTCAGGGGAGGCCCAATCCATAGGAACATACGTAAAACACCGGGGATTGGAGCCACTCCTGTGGCCTTCTGAGGCCTCCTGCTCCTGGGGCCTCGTGGGGGCTCCTAGGGCCTTCTGGGGCCTCCTGGTGCCTCCCGGCGTTTCCTGTGGCCTCCTGTGGCCTCCGGTGGCCTCCTGGGGCCTCCTGGGGCCTCCTGTGGCTTCCTATGTCCTACTGATGTCTCCTGGGACCTCCTGTGGCCTCCCGGGGCCGCCTGGAGCCTGCTGGGGCCTCCTGTGGCATCGTGAGGAGGATCCGCGCCCACGAGTCTGGTTAACCACTCCGACGGTAGGACTCCGCATGAGAATCTATTGCGAGGGCCTTCTGGCGGGTGCCGCCGACCCTGCAGACGGAGACGACGAGCAGGACAAGGACGTTGAGGAGCAGGACGCGGAGGACGTCAGGGAGCATGAGGGGGGAACCATTTTGGCTCAAGCATTTTGGCGCAAGTCAAGGGGTCCCCTTCGGCCGGGCGCCTCCCTGGGCCTGTCGCCCATTCTTCCTCTTCTCACGCTCCTGGCCCCCTGCCGCGCCGGGCGCCTTCCTCCCTTCCTTTTCGTTCTGGGCGCAATGGGGCGCCGCAGGGACTCGCGATCGAGGTCAGCCATCCCGCGGGAGCGGTACCGTCCTCTCCGTGGAGATCGGGCTCCCAGGGGCTCGAGGAGTCGCTCGCGCAGCCGTTCGGGGGGGCGCTCGAGAATCCGGTCGAGGCCGCGCCGGAGCTCAGTGCCGTGCCAGTCGCGCTGGAGCCCGAGGGTGAGGGGCCCGCAGCCGCCGCCTGAGCCTCCTTTGAGGCGCAGTGAAGGAGGCACTCGGGATGTGCATCCTGGGGCGCGTCCAGCTGGTGTGGAAGGTACTATCGAGAACAAGGCGGACATCGTGGGCGCCTCCCCGCAGGCGGCCTCTTCGCGCGCGCGCCAGTGCTCACCGACTCTGCCTGCAGATGTGGAGGAAGCTTCCGACCCCAACCAGGTCCTTCTGGACGAGCTCGAATGTTTACACCACCCTGGACGACTTTGACGCCCAGCCACCATCCCTGGCAGCAGCTGTGAGCAAACTGTTGGACGTCATCAGGGTCACTTCGGACAAACTTAGGCCAACCCCCCAGCTCCACAGGTAGGGGCGAAGCAGGAGGCCCTCCAGGGAAACGATGATGGCCCGCCCCCGCTCTACCAGGACCAGCAGGCGCTCAGGCAGGACGCCGATGCCTTCACCGAGATGGTCATGAAAGGCTTCCAGCAGGCCTTTACGGGAATGACTGCTGGGACGACTCAGATGAAAGTCCGCTTCGAGAGGCCCATGCCTTCTGCGCAGGAGTTGTGCCGGTGCGTCCAGAACCTACATGGAACAAGGGGGCCCCAGGTGGTAGTACAGTTACTCGAGCAGCAGCGCGTCGACAAGAAGGGGAAGAGGGAGACCTTCACTAAACCTCTATCAGCGACGTGGTTGGCTGATACGGCGGGCTGGAACAGCACCAACTTCCACCTCAAGCTCGATATCCTGTGAGAAGGCAGGGGTCCTTTCAGACTCCTTGCCGCTTGCCGAGAAGCCTTCTTTGGTGTGCGTCGCACTTTTGGCTCGACGGGTTTCTGGTCAAATCAAATTCTTTACGCTTCGCGTATCCCCACCAGCCCATCTCACAGCAGCAACTCTCGCGAAGCATGCCGACAGTCGTGTTTTTCAGGCGTGTGTCCGCTTGGCCCCGCATATCTCCCCTGTTCCTCCTTCCTCCCGCCTCCTTGTACATCCTCCTTGTGGGGGGAGCGGGAGAAGGGCGAGGCGGAGGAGGAGGGAGAGAAAGCGCTCCTCGTGGTTTGAGTCGTTTGGGGTTTCTCGTCCTGGCGTGAGTTGTTCGGGCCCTTCTTCCTGGTGTGAGTCGTTCGGGCTCTTCGTGGTGTGAGTCGTTCGGGCTCTTCGTCCTGGTGTGAGTCGTTCGGGGTTCTCGTGGTGCGAGTTGTTCGCGCCCCTCGTCCTGGTGTGAGTCGTTCGGACCCCTCCTCCTGGTGTGATTCGTTCGGGTTCCTCGTGGTGTGAGTCGTTCGGGGCCCTCGTCGTGGTGTGAGTCGTTCGGGCTCCTCGTGGTGTGAGTCGTTCGGGCGCCTCGTCCTGGTGTGAGTCGTTCGGGCC